TTCATTAACTCTCACCTGCATTCGTTTATGTTCTCTTTCGACCATTTGCAATTTGCGGAATTCATTTCTCATGTCAGCCAACTTTCTCTCATACTCTTCTCGGATCCTCTGAAAGCTCATAACATATCAAATTACAGTAGAGGATCGATAGATGATGGACAACCCGACCAACACAACTCTAACTCTTCGGGATGCGACTGACAAGTAACCATCGTACACAATCATGAACAAGTGGCGGTGGAATTCACAATTACTCGAAAAGTTAGGCAGATACATGCGAACTGTTCTACGATCCAGCCTAACCGGCCACTAATTCAAAGTATTATAGAAGACCTGTTTTACTTTGGCAAAAACTCGTCCAGCTCTGAGCATGGAAGGAACGACGTATCTCTTTTACTATAGCTGAAGAAAAACTGATAAATGGAATCAGTGGTTTCTAGTTTCTTGGAAGCATCTCGAACTGGACAGGCACTGATGCTGAGATCCCGAAAATCGCCCAAAATATTCGACTCTTCACTGACAAAGTTTCTCCATCACCCGGCTTGTCAACCTGGGAAAATCACCGGCCCCTCGATGGTAGGACATGTCCTGGGAAGGCCACAGAATCACTGGATAAAAGATGTAACGGATTTCGAGGCGCAAAGTAAGCAGCCATGAGAATCATCAAAGAGGTGATGGTGGAACGTGATCAAGAAGGACCTCGTTGAGGCCAAAGTAATGGCAGAAGATGTATCAGAGCCAGAAAGAAGAAGAAGAAGAGTGAAGAATACCTGGGAAGATGGCGAAAGTATCAAGAAAAATGAAAAAATCGATTGGAAAGAATTTTGAATGACTTCCGTGAAAGAATGAATCGAAATCGGTGAATGTTATGCAAGAAGACGTGTCATGAATACGAAAATAGTACAGAAGAAGAAAACGATTCCTTTTCAGAAACTCCTACGGGAATACAAAACTTGAAAGTACCAGTAATACTGGGAAATCCCCAGGAACACTTGACAAAGAATCAGGTAAGTTCCAGTTTCATGCACTAAGTAGACAATCAATCACCTTGGCTTGTTCCTGGCTGGCTTTGTCGGATTTCTTTGCTTCAGCTTCCATCACAACTCTGTCACGTTCCGCTTCCATCTTTTTGATTTGAGCCGAGAGTTCCGTGAGTTTTTTCTCATAACTCAAACGTACTTCTGCCAAATGTCGATCGGATCGCTCTAATTCTGCGATCAATCTAAATAAATACAAATATAACCTAAATAAATATAAAATTCATGCAGCAAAAGTATCAAAAAACAGAGAAATCTATTGAAGATTCATGAGATTTCTGAGGTCCTTTCTAACCCCAAAATCAAAAAAAAAACGGTTCGAATTTTAAAAAGGTAACCCCACCTCTCCTTGATGTTAATCTCCGTCTGAAGGTCGGCAAGATTATCCCGTAGAGCAGCACCTGTAATAACTGAATTTTTGAAAGTCCTAAAACGTAAAATTTACCTATAAGTAAGCTATTCGGGGAATGCGGTCTGGGAGGCAACATATCACTAAAACCGATTGATTTTCGTCAGAAGGAATCATTTGAATGGTCTTGGGAAATCGTCATGCTTCGCTATTGCCAGCCGCCACTGGGAATCGTCATAATCGTTGTTTCAGTGGCTACGGCGGAAGTTTGGTATCGATTTACTGATAAAGACCATGATACTTGTAAGTATAAATCAACATCCGTGCACTCTATCCTCGGGAGGAAGGTTGAAAAAAACCCATCAAGTTACTCTGTAAAGGCTCACTAAACTATTTCACTTAAAAAAAAAAGAAACTGCGAGCTGAAACCGAGCACCGGGAACAGTTAAAGCGATCGAATTCTCAGGAATCGAGCAATCCCAGACGACATGCAAGAAAACGGAAAAGCAGCAGAATGGTGTAGTATAGGCGGGTTGACGGCATGCGTACAGCGGACACTTTTGAGCAGGTGTTGATACCTAGACATTCTTCCCTTGCGGCTACTATCTCCCTATCCCAAAAACTCAAATCCTCCTGGGAACAAACCTTTTTGATCTTCATCGAACACTGTATCCTCGTCAACATCTTGATCATATTCATCTTCTTCATCCAACTCATCTGCATCATTACTGGTACCATCCTCTTCGGCTGTGTCAGCATGGGAAGCGTAATCGGATGTCACTGAAAATTATTTTCATATTCATATTTTTTCCTATTCATTTTTATTTCAAGGAGGATTTAGCAATCTTCTGATTTTTCTTGAAGCTTCTAGCCAAAATGGTCTAAATCAAATAGCAACATCTGCTCCTTCAACATCTATCGCATATTACAATCAGTTGAGTGAATTTTTGGTATTGAAAATCAAAAAAAATATCAGCACAACAAAATTATTGCTTCTGAATAGAAGTCTCGATAAAACCGATCAGACAAATTTATATGTCTCAAACATTATTATGTCACGCAAAAAAATTCGTGCTAAAATTTCTTACTAGGTATTAAAATTGGCAAATACCTTTTGGAGAAGTTATGACGCAAAAATAACCAAGATCCTCAGAAAACCGGTACAACAAAGTGGCAAAAATTTAAGGCGTTCGTGGCGTGGACAGTCTGTTTTCGCAATTCCTATAGCATTTATTCTATATCGAAGAATTTTCAGGTGCTTGACCATTCCAAGACAGATTTGACGTATACAATGACTTGTTGGCTTCAGTCAGGGTACAAAAAAGATTTTTTCGCTCCCAGACGAAACCATAGCAAATCAAGCAACTTCAGAGCAGAGGACGATTTTGCAGACATGCGTGGGTATCGATCCCCTGGTCCAAATGTGTGGTAGTAGCGCCGTTTGCCATTAACCCATGTTCCCCCTCTCGAAATTAAAAAAAAAAGCGCTCCGGAAGTGATCGACTCAAACTCGTAGCCTATTGCGAACAGAGACGACATCAATAGATAACAAATCAAATGAAAAAATAATTTTGAGTTCCAATCAAACAGCTATTCTGAAAAATAATAATTTATCAAGTAATATTGTACTGTATAATGTTGATGATGAGATTTGATACTGGACGAGTTCTTCCAACCATTTCTTTTCATAATGCAGTGTGGAAGCCTCACTGTTCAAACCTTCTACCAACTTGAGCGGAGGCTCAAAGGCAACAAGGCATGAAAACAAGAAAACAATAGTGTTGCAAATATTCAGATTTGGCCTAATCTTCTCAATCTAAAACATGTCTACATCCTATTCATAGCCGTTCGACCAGCCGCACCCTGTTTTATGCCTGTCGGACCCCGTTTCATAATAAAAGACGTACATAGGCGGCAAAATCCCCGTCAGACACATAATTCCCAAGCAACGGCTGAGTCATAAACCGCAATCAAGCGCGTCCGTCGCATCGGCAGCGGAACCATCATTCATATGCACCAGTGTTTCATCCTCCCATGACCTCTGCATTGATCGTAAAAGGTTCTAATTCAACACTGTAATTGTAGAGTTCCACCATCATTTGGACCCAATGAGGTTTACCTCAAAGGATATGGGACACAGTGAGAATATTCCACATTCTGTACCGTTGAAACCTTGATGGCAAACTAGGCTGGTAGGAAAGCCGCTGCTGGGACTCAGACCAATGTAGAAGGGTGCTCGAACAAGATTGAAAACGAATCGGATTTGAGAATTAGTAATTTATTTAAAAGTGGTAAGTACAAATCTAGAAATTCCGAAAGGAAGAATATTTCAGAGGAAAACAACGGATGTTTACAGGGAGCGGAAGAAGAGAAATCACGGAAAAAAGGTAGTTTTCCGAAAATTACCTTCATTCGAAGCCGTAGACACAGTCCTACGAAGTCTTTCTATATCAGCTCGAGCATCTTCAATGAGTTGTTGATGACTGAATGATGTGAAAGAGCTATCATTACTTTCCATGAAACCACCACAACCAAGAGCCTGAAACATTGGATTCGCTGGAAACTTGCTTCAAACGAATTTGCCATCACCATCAAGCCACAAAGGTATGACGGTGGGTCTATACTCAGAACTTGGAATCAAGCGAGAAGGATGAAAATATTTCAATGCGAATTTTTTCGAAAAAAAAGTTTTAAAATGCTACCACAAGTGTTTCTCTCTCTCTCCAAAAAGAGAAAGATCCTGAACGAAATGGTGGAGACTGCAGATGTAGAACATCAAAGAATGGTGAGAAAATTGGTTATCCTCTGCTGACCATGAGTCTGGTTCCACAGCCCATTAACGCGGTGTTTTTGGCCATTGCGACACATAAATTCTATGATGGCCAATCCACACCAAAAAATTATTCCGCGGCACCTTTTTTAATGGGAACGCCCAAAGAACATTGGATTTTCTAGACCTGCTTTGTTACGTTTTTAAGTCACGTAACTTCTCTACAGGAAGGCGGAGGGTATTGCAAAAGGATGAGGTCAAGAGGTGCCGTGCGCTCAGAGCGAAAATGGGTTATCTAATGTTGTAGGAACCTTACAGCCCTGAAGCCCTGACCATACACAAGCAGTCGAGAGTCTTAGCATGAACACCTAAAAAAACGGGTGCATGGCTTTCCGGAGCCCTGGCACCTCATGACCCACATCGTCAAGGACGCGACTATGAAAATGGAGAAGTCACATGAATGCTCAAACGAGTAAGTCAAGAAGTAAACAAAAGTTAATCTGGCATTAGCTATGGTTATCAGGAAAGTAAACATAATAACAGTCGAAAGGCAAAACAAAACAGAAACATCGAAGGTTTCGAGCAAGTAAACAAAATAACAATTTTTCATACCTGGTTCTTCCATTTATTCATCTCTTTTCTCAGTTGATTTGCTACTGCCTGAGATTCGTAGAGTTGTGATCGCATTCGTTCCAACTCCTCCAGATATTTTCGCACAGTAGCCTGTACTGGATCCATGACCGCGTCATTCGAAGCAGAGCTGTTCGCTTCTGAACGTCACTGTTATTTTCCTTGACGTTTGGTGAAAAAGATATAGCTGATAACTACCGTCGGAGGAGCCACCATGTTCATCTGTAGGAGAATTTACCGAACAACCGTTTGGACCGAGATCTTTCGCCATTAGGTCCACATTACGATTACGGAGGATCTCGTTCGTTTCTTGCAGAGCTTTGACACGGAATCTCAACTGGTTGATTTCCGCCTAAACTTTTTTTTTATAAAAAGACGGGCAATGTTAAAAGTCATCATAGTCCAAGGAGAATAATGAAATTTCAGAAAAATTTAAACTTAAAGACCTTGAGAAGAGGATAACCTAAAAGTGAAAAATAAAAGTAAAAAACATAAAAATTAGAAAATATTATATTAAATAGAGAAAAATGAAAGGGAAAAACTCAGAAGACGGAGCCGAAGAAATCAATAATTTGAATTATTCCAATTGACAAAGAATTGAAATCGTTTCGGAGGACCAATCCTATTCCTTGTAATCGGTAAAATACGTCTATCCGTCAAAAAATTCGATTAAAATACAAAATTTCGGAACAGAGGAGCCTTTTCTTTCGACATGTTTTCTAGAAGAGATGAGCGTTTGTAGCACGTGATAGAAAGCGATAACAACTGATAACGGCTAATAAGACGCGTTAGGATGCGTAAATGCCACAATTTTTCCCATGCCCTTTACCGACAGAGTATTCTTTACAATAGTGCATTGTTGCAGGGCCCTCTGCTGATGACGGTTTCCCAGAATTTGATAACGAATGATACTTAGTAATAAAAGCTAATAACAAAAAACTGCCGCTTCACCATCCCCAATTACGGACCCTAGCATTTAAGTAATATTATAAGTAATGTTCGATCCTACTCCACTAAAAAGATGCCTCGATAACAAACACAACAAAACGTTGCCCCACTCGGATAATCTGGGGGTTCAAGGTGTCGGCTATTCGGCTGGAATTCGCACACCTTTGTGTTGGCTATAAAAACACCGTCGACAAGGTTGAGGAGAGAGGACACTCGAAAGAAAAGAAAGGCTCCAGTTGTTGGACATAATGTTCTATGGGGATGAGTTCTCTTGCTAAGATCCTCCGAAGCCACACAATAAAGCAATAACAAGCCGCTCACTAAAAAGCCGATCGTTACCGTACTCATTCCACTGTAACCTGATTCAGTCACATTGAGAACAAAAAACAGTATGAGAAAAGAATTAAGGAAAGACCTACCGTAAGCATAACGTTCTCATGGTACTGATCGTTGACGGTCTCCACACCATCGCTGCCAACCGTTCTTCGGCCCTGTTTGAACTCCAGCAACTCGGCCTCCAATGCCGCAATACGACCCCGTAATTCGCCGATAAGCTTTGATGACTTGTCTTGATTGGCAACCACCTGAAAGCGTCTTGGCTCTCATGGAAAATAAAATTCGAAGAGATAAAGAAAAAACCAAAGATAAACAAGATGAACAAGGAAGATAAACGGGCTTGTGGGTAAGTTTCAGGTCCCAAGGATTTTCGAAAAATGCTGATCCCCTCGAAGAAAGAATTTTCACAGATCAACCGGGAGATGACTGGTAACATCCTCCAGTACCGTACGACTGGGAGCCAGTGGAAGCCAGGGACACAATATCCTTCACATAGTGGGCTCAGTCAGATGAGCTTTTCAGCTAGTCTACCCGAATCCCGGGGACAAGGCGACAAATTTCAGTAACAAGTTGGAAAATGGAGCAAAAGCCCCTGACGAACCTTGTTCTTGATATTCTTCGCACGATTGGCATATTTCAAAGTGTTCAATGTTTCCACAAAGTCGCTATCACTAGGTGAAACACAGGCAACCATAAGAGTGCGGCTGAAAATCAAACATTTTTGATGAAAATGCAAGAAACTCACAAAATCCGAGGTAGACAAACTTTATTATGCTTTACCTATTGCCTCCCAACGAGTCTTGTAGTAGTCTGGTTAGCTTTGAATCACGATACGGTACATGACTGACTTTTCCATTAGCTCCACCCAGAGCACTAATGACATTACCGAGAGCTAGCTGAAAATTGTTGATGTTACTAGAATTTTTAGTTGAGTAGAAGCGAAGTAGTCAATTTAATTAAGCACCGAAAGAAAGCAGAAAAACAAGAGTTTAAAAGTGAAAACATTGAAAATCCAGCTGGTTTCCAAGCTCAGATGACCCGGACAATTTTCTGGGCCGTGATTAGTCAAACCCCGTTTAACTGCCGATTAATAGATAAGAACCCATCTAGGTGCTGAAAGAAATGGTAGCCCCGAACAGAACCTCGAAGGACGAGAACGGGACATCAAGCTAGGATAACTAATTAGGATATGGCGCTCAGCGAGCTAGGCATCACCGTTTGGCGAGACAACCAGCTAAATATCGCCGTTCCGCGAGACAACTAGCCAAGAATCACCGCTCAGCGGATCGGGATTCAAGACATATTAACCGGGCGAATTGTTTTGTAAGAAAAACATACCAAACCACAATTGATACTAATTCCTTCTTTGGCTCGATCACCCGTAGCACCAGTTCTTTTCAATCTTTCAGATCCAGCCAAATCAACAAAATGGAATTTCGCCGAAAGCAATTCCATTTCGATTTCCTGAAAGGAGAACTTGAAGCTTCCCTATTTCACAGGTGACTAAACAAAGTAAATTAAATACAAACAGCTTCAGGAATCTGAATTACCTGACTAATAACCGGTTCAGCTTCTTGTGGTACTACTCGTTGTTGCTTTATGTGTAATGAGAAAATAGCATGGGAACGTGACGATTGTTCATTCATATTCGTTGCCGCTACGGTACGATTTAGCGCTCCGTTCTTGAGGATTTCAAGTGTCTAAACAAAATCAATAAAAATTAGGAAAACAAAGTTGTAAACATAAACAATAATAAAACCGGAAAAAAGCTTTTGGCCTCTATGATAGATAGAATTGCAGCCTACTACAAGAAGATAAAGCAGTAAAATGAAATAGAAAGCGGAAAGCAACCCATCTANCAAAGTTGTAAACATAAACAATAATAAAACCGGAAAAAAGCTTTCGCCCTCTATAATAGATAGAATGACAGCCTACTACAAGAAGATAAAGCAGTAAAATGAAATAGAAAGCGGAAAGCAACCCATCTATAGTCTAATAAAATTCACCTCTGATTGGGCAAACCTGACCATGAAGTTAGCTTAACAAAATTAGGCAAAATAGCAAATATAGTATTTACAACCGTCTAAACCTAAGTTATTCAGAAAAGAAGTATTTTCGAACAAATCATGGGCAGAGGTGGAGCAGTGGTATTTGGCGCTCTCCCACACACGCACAGTTCGTTGGTAATCGAATCTTGGATTGATACTCATCTGGGCCAACAAAGCATCCTATCCCTACGGAGTCAGTTAATTGGGACCAGACTCGACTCGGAGGATAAAAGCATTGGCTCGCACATCGACTGGCTACTGCAGTCATGTCCACATACGAATTCAATAAGCCATTACGATTCTGAATAGAAGTCGAATGCGGGGGTGCATCCCAAACGGATTGACTTGCCTGCAAAACCTTATACTTTTTAATTTCGGAGGAATGTGGGGGTTACTGGAAGTTTTTGATATTTTATGATCGTAAAGCCCCGTCAAGGTAGCTCAAGTGGCAACTGCTGGGCTATACGTACACAAAGGACGCATGTATAGACGATGCATCGAAATATATTCAGAGCAGAATAGAGGTAAAAAATGAAAATACCAGTTATGAGTGAATCAATAAGCAATTAATTTAAAAACGTTAACGGGAAATAGCCAGCTTGACTATCACCCCCAAAAAAAATTGTAAGGTAATTACGCTTCTCAGCCAAAAATAATTGAATTACCTGAAAAACTGAGGAAGTAAAAAAGAGAAGAAGGAAAATTCCTTCAAAAAAGAGAGTTTTAGAAAAATATATATAAACTTACCGAGTGGAGGTCTTGTACTTGTCTAGTGGTAACACCGTGAAGGTAGATCTCTCCCCGGGCATCTTCATGTATGCGTATGTTGAACGAGGAAGAACGATCATTTGCCAACAGATCAATGATTTCTTCATTGTATAACTGTAAAATACCGGTTCTATCAGAAAGAAAGGAAAAAGAGTAAAAGGCAGGAATGCCAAGAAGATGGTAAAGATTCCAAGTAAAATTTATTGATAACGGAAGATTACCTCTATGAATTGAACGGAGACCTCGAAGGTTGGCTCAAGGATGCCACCCTCTCGTGCTTCTTGTTTCAAATCCGAAACCCTACGGAAGACATGAGCCAAAGCTCGTGGAATCACTCCAACCTTGAAAAGAAGGTAGAAACTGCTAAACGCAAATGATAACAGATAGTAACCAGAGATATCTGAAGAAGTCAAGCGCCTACTTCATGCTCTGATATTGCACCGGTGTCGAAAGCCGTACCCATAGTGTAAGTTTTACCAGAACCCGTCTAAATATTCAAATCGCTAGAGTTTTTGATAAATTTCAAAAAAATCTTGAAGAAAAAAAACAGCAAGAGAGAGGAACGATGTGAAAATAAAAAGCGAAGAAAAGGAAAAAGAATGAAGTGATTAGATGAAAAAAAAAACAAAAAAAAAATAAAAAAAAAGAAATACCTGGCCATATGCGAGAACTGTAGCATTAAACCCATCAAAAAGACCGTTAACTAGTTTTTCTATACATGAATCATAGATTTCAACTTGTTGAGTAGCTTGATCGAATACATGATCGTAAGTGAATGAACGGTCAGTGCCGATAGTAACCTGCAAGAATACCATAAAAAATCGAATTTTATGACAAAAAATAACAAAAAACCAACAAAAAGAATTATTAATAAGTAAATGAAACAACACCAAAAACAAGCAGAACATAAATAACAGTTCTGAAAAAACAAAGCAGCACAGTACCTGAGGTTCACCGGGAATAACAGATGTGCATACACGACTACCTTCCAGTTTTTCTCGATTCCCTTGTGGGCGTATTCTGGAATA